AATGTTACGAGAAAGTTTTTTTTTCTTGTTTCTAATTTGGTAAAGTGATCTATAGGGAGAGTTAAATTTTACTTTTTTAAAAATGTTATTTTATATAATTAATTAAAAAAGAATAAAATACAATTATAAACATTGAATTACAATTATTATAAAATGCGCCTATAGTGTTTAATACAATATATAATTGTTTTTATTGTCTGGAGCAAAAATGTAAATACACCAATCTACTTATAATAATTTTTTTTTTTAAATTTAATATAAACATTTAAATAGCTTTATTTATTATATAGGTTTTGAAAAATATTTAAATGTAAAATTTTATTAAAATTTTATTATTCTATAAAAAATTTTATTAATCACTCATTTCTACAATTTCAAAGTTTTTATAGTCACTTTTGGCTAATAATATATTGTTATTCAAATTTTTATACTCTATAGCCTTATTAAATGATTTTTTCCAAAATTCAACAATAATATTAGAGGTGATCTTTTCTTTAAAAGCATGCAATAAGTTGTTTCTTATTACTAGAAGATTCAGGTAGGGACTAGTTCTAGTAACTTTGCCTTTTACAATTGACTAAACTCCTTCAATCAGTTGGAGTTCACAGTGATAAGGCAGAGTATAAAACAAATTGTGCCCAAATTTTTTAGCTATCTAAACACAAACAAAAGACACACTTTTCTTATTCAATTTTACTAATTCATATAGTTTTGCTTTGCTAGAATTTTCTGAAACATCAATACCAGCTAACAATAACTATATAATCATTGCATTCTTGTTTAAGTTTGATGTTGGCATTTGTAAGATTTGATGTTTGTAGTAGCAAGCACCATTCATATGAATGTCTACTAGCACATAGTGTTTTTTAATATTATCATTCAGTTTTTCAAAAAGATCTTTAAAGATTTTTCCTGTAAAATTACCATGATAGTCAACATGATCTACTGTAATGTTGGAGTTTCAAACAACTTTAAAAACATTATTCCAACTATCTGAATTTGCTCATTTTCTTTTTTTGGTTTGATTGATGTGTCTTACATTAAAATAGAGTTAGGTATGACTTTGCCATAAAGCTTGTTAAAATCATCATTACGTATTATCACTACAGTACCAAAAATAATAATTAAGAGCCCATGCCCTAGTAAGTATATAATTTCATGACCTGGGACTCAAGTAAAACCTGTAGTATGATAGAGGTGGCAGTAGGATTCATCCAAAAAAACTTCAGGCCTTATTGAAACCTTATTATTTCCTTCTAAATTTCTGAACCTATGCTGCAAATAGCAACTATGAAAGGCAACATTTGCTAGCAATTTATGCAACATATTTCATCATTCACTACACCCAAAATAGAACCCCAATATATGAAGTATACGAAGTAACTGCTACTTGAAAAATTTATGATCACTTTCTTCAAGTTTTTGCCATAATATATACATTGAAAGTGGGAAACTGGAAGTGTTGGCAGACAGAATAAGAGTGCAAATAAGTTTAAGAACATCAATATCAGGTTTTTTTTTGGCCAACCCAGCTTTTTTTGTGCTGGGGCTTCTCATTTTTTTTTTGTTTAGCAATGATATGCACAACTGTTGTCTTACTAATACCAAGTACAGTAGCAACCTTCTTGTATAATGGCATGTACTAATATTTAGATAGGCATTGTTAGGCTTCCAAAAAGTATTGATGAGTATTAAAAATTATCTTTTGTTCATTGTTAGTTAATAGACTTCGATCCCTATGCAAGTTGTCTATACAAAAAAAAATTAACAAGTTTGTCAAAAATTTAAAGTTTAAATCTATTCTTATCTTATATATTATTTGTATGTTTACATGACTTGATTGTGAAGTTTTTAATTAGAGACAAAAATCAGGTAATGATTTTTATATATCTATATTTTTGCACCAGCCAATAATAAAATCTAGAGTTAGAGTGCATTTTTATGAATTTTTTTTTGAATTTTTTATTTTTTCACATATGCGATGTATCGCACTCTATAAGATCTGGTATAACATGAAATCAAAACAATAAAATTATTCATTAGTTTAGGGTTAGGGTGAGTTAGATTAGGTTTAGGTTAGGGTTAGAGTAGAGTGCTTTAGCAAAAAGGGTCTACCCAAAATTTCAAGAGGAATTTTTTTTGTTAAAACCCGAGAGATGGTTTCATAGACAAAATTTCTTGCTATAGCTAACTTTTTAAAAAAAAATTGTAATTGCTTCGATTTCATGTTGTATCTGATTATGCACTCTAATTGGTTGATCAGGGTGGCGATACGTCGCCATGGCGATAAATTATAAAATTCTTTTTTTTTATATATTATAATATATATTAGTTATAAAGTTTTAATTTTAGTTTATATGAGGTTTTTGTGGGTCCTAAACATTTTTACTCAGAATACTCACTTAGTACATTTTTGAGAAACAGGGCCTATAGTGTTGAACACTATAGGTACATTTTAGTAAACTTTAAAAAATATATAATAGATCTAAAAAAGATAATTTAAAAATTAACAATTTTAAATTTTAATTTTTTGTAATAGCTTATTGTATAATAATTGTTTAGTTTAAATCTGCTAAAAGTGAATAATATAATTTTTAGATATTTATTTACTTTTAAATTAAATAAATTAAAAAAATTAAAAATAGTTTTACCAAGTAAATATATATTTTTGACAACTTGTTTTTAAAAGAAATATAAAAATTATAAATAGATAGAATTATAAAAAATAGATATATACCTAATAGTATTAAATAATAGTAGCTATAAATAATTTATTTGGCCAAATTTTTATAAAATACAAGTATTATAAAAATTATAATAATTGTCTATGTATGCAAAAAAAAACTATTATATTAAATAGTACAAAATTAGTATGTATATTTAATAAGCTAATTATTAAAAATGTTTTAACTTATGTAAGTTTGAAAATATTTTTTTATACTTATTGTTTATTTGATTAATTTTATTGATTAATATCGATTATTAGTTGAGATGATTTACAAATAAAAAAAAGAGAATCATATTATTAAATAGGGAATCTTGGACTACCATACAAAATTGTTCAATTATTATAAAACGTATCTATGATGTTTTAGCACCATATATAATTGTATTTAATAAAATTTAGGGTTAGGGTTCGGGTATTAGAAATTTTTTTTTTTATATAATATAATATAGAGCTAATATAAGTCCCAATCTCAGTTTTTATAAAGTTTTTGGAGGTTCTGAATATTTTTACTTGGAGTACCTGATCCTGTTTACTTAGTACATTTTTGAGAAATAGGAACCTAGATGATAAAACACCATAGGTGCATTTTAGTAAAAGTGAAATTGTTTATCTAATATACGTTATTTTCAAATATCTGGTGATAATATTTTTAATTATATGCCACTATATCAACAAATTTTTGAAAAAGTTTTAGAAAGATACAATGAAAAAGTTATAACAAATCAGCCAACAACTCATGAAATTTAAACACCAACATCATACTAGAGTCACTAAATCATTTTCAACAGTTATTAATAATGCACACATAATAGAAATTGTTTCTTAGTTGATAAAAAATGTGAATTTATATTCTATAAATGATAATCCATATGATTTAATTTTTTCTTTGTAGAACTAGAGATAGTTTTACCAAAGATTCATTTGGAATTTATTAATAAACAAATACTCCTTGTTTAGTTATAAAGATTAAAGACAGTAATAAATTCTTGGCAGATATAATCCTATTGGATGGGTTAAACCAGCTAGATTTAAATCATTAATAAGAATTGCAATAATAGTTTTATTTTTTTTCATTGAGAAATAGCATCATTCATAATTCTGTTTTAAGTTGTATAATAGTTCTAGAATGGAAAATTTACTGTAATTATAATTAATATATTAAGAGGTAATAATTAGTCATGAATATTTATGTAAACAAGATATCAATATCATGTCACGTTTGATATGACAAGATACAACGATGACTTGTGGAAGAAATGTAAAGCATAAAGAGGCTTTTTCAAGACATTCATATCTTAAGCTGTGTATAAGCCATTTTATAGTATTATGCAAGAGTAATGTAGCGAAAGAGTCTAGCACAGTGGTTCATAGTAAATTAAAATATATTTAAAGCCTGAGTTTTTGCATTAATAAAAGTTTTCCCAGACTTTGATATTTTTAATGAAGAAAAAATAAGAATCGAATTCTTACTTGATTAAATACAGTTTAGTAAATAATATTGTATCGAATTTGTTATTAACATACTATTACTATTATTGCTATAACATAATTATCTCTAAATGTTATCCATAAACTAGCTTAGTATCATTATCATAATTGTTATACCAAAATCCTACCTTATATAACCCTATTATTACCCACTCTATATCCCTTTAAATTATTTAAATTGCATATTGCATCACTTAAGTTGACTCTTAAAATCGATCATATAATGGTCTGATAGATTAATAACCCTGACCCTGATTTGTATAATTCATGACCTTACCCCACATACTTATATTAGGACGAAAGATATTTATAATCTTCCACATATACTATTGGAACATTCTATCTTAATTGCTTTTCCAAACAATAGTAACAATAGTGCACAAACGTGTGATATGCTTTTGTTATACAAAAATACAAATATAGACACGCATGCTGACAGACATGTATTTTCAAATTTATATTTTTGATATCTATTATAATATATTTAATTAATTAAGATGATCCCAATTTAATTCGGTAGTTTACATTACCCCTCTCCTTTTACCTCCCCCCTCCTTCATAGTAAAGGTTTTTGAATTTTAAGTATACTTCTGAGAATGTGAAAAAATGAATAAAAATTATGTATTTACTGCAGATCTTATGTATGACTTCATGATTACTATATTTGATGAACATTTTAAATAGACTTCTATATTTGGTTAATTATTATTATGTAATATTAATATATGTATCTAATTTTTAAAGAATTTCACAATTAAATTATGCTTGTTTAATTATCGATAAAATGTTTTATATTTATGTAATAGTTGAAGATCCTCCTAAGGTATTATATGAAAGAGCTATAAATATAGCTTATATAATAGATACCAGAACCTTTGAGGATTTACTTTTAGAGATAGCCAGCAACCAATTTTTGGATAAACATGTTCTTGTTTTTGGCTGTGAGAAAAAAAATGATAAATGGATACTGCTGCAAGATGGGTTAACTGATTATTTGCAAGTGTTAGCTCAATTAAACTTTAAAATGGTCAGATTTCTATTTGAATCTTCTAAAATACAAGAAATTGAATTATCTATTAACGATGCAAATTCTGTATTGATGAATAATGCCAAGTGACTTCATTTTCCTAAAAAATTAATATGAGGAAATAGCCATGATCATTTATATAATAAGCTTATTGATCTTTTTGAAGAAAAGGATAGAGGATGGTTAAATGGAATGCAGAATACAAGAGGCAAAATATTTATAGAGTGCCTATCAAATGCTATATAGTATATTGATCTACATATCAAACTGCTTAAAGATCGTGCATGCTATATGCCCTCTTTATTTAATCAGTTAGCAACTTACAAAGTTGAATCTACTTACAATAATTTTTACTTTACTTTGCATCATAAAAAAGAAAAACTTTCTCGATTAAAATTAATTGAATATTGTAAATTAATAGAATGTAGCGCAAGTGAGATTTGGGCAAGTGAAAAATGTTGGGCTGAAATTATTTCTGAAATTTTTAGTCTTGCAAGTATGATGCGAAAATATGCTGAGCATTTACAAAAATCTTCTCAACTTACTTATAATGCACACCATTCTACTACAGTAGTCTGTATACCTAATAAATATAGCAAATTATTAATAATTATAGGAGTTTTAAATATTAATTCTAAATATAAAAAATTAGAAAAAATTCTTGCTAAAAAGGATTTTTATGAGTTTATTGAAATTTCTGAATTTCTTCTAACTGAAAGTATTAAACGTCATTGATGGATTGTAGAATTAAAATTATCTTTTCCAATTTGCTTATATAAGTAATTTTTTATAAATAAATGTTTATTTATTTAGACATAGTCAAGGAAACTATCTTGGAAATATTAATTATACTTGGTGAATTATTGAATTTGACTATAATTCTGATGAGCATAAAACCCACAATGCTCAAACGTTAGCTTCAGTTAATGAAAAAATTCTACAATATATGACCCGAGAAATAAGAAAATCTTTTACAAATAAAGTAAATATATAAATTATATTAAAATAATTTTAAACTTTTATTAAATTAAATTTACTTATTTGTTATTTTAGTATTCCTCAATAAAGACTTTAAATCTGACTATTTTTAATATGCTATATTGTGATCTTACAAGTGATACTTTTGCTCCTAATACAAATAGTAAAGAAGTACAAGAACATTTGCAATTAATGCTAGAACTTGATAATCCTGATATTATTTTTGATATTCAAACAAATAATGGGTTTAATGGAACTAAATTTAATTCTTTTTGGAGTAAACTACAATAGTGTTCGGCAAAATCAAACAAAAACTCAATTATTGAGTTTTTGAATCTATTGATTTATAGTATTGTGCTTCAATTATAAAATCTATTTTTACTCTAATCTGACTTTAAACTTCATGTTAGTTACCATGAAGACTAAAGTAAGATTGGATTCCTGTTCGATTTATATATAAACTAAAAATAAAATTTGTATTTAATTCCCAATATTGTAAATTGATAGATTCAAAAACTTGATAATTGAGCTTTTGTTTGATTTTGCTAAGCACTAAACTACAATCATTTTTTAATGAAGTAATTATTTAAAGTTTTATGTATTTGTTATATTTAATTATTAAATAATATTAAATTAATTAATTAGAATACTCCAGCGGTAAATGATCGAAGACATAGAAATATTTTATATATATCTTGGTTTATTTCTATACAAGATCTTCAAAAAACTATTATTTAACAGCTTATACTTTAATTTGGAGATCCTCTTCCTAATATAATCTATATGCCAAGTTTAGAGTGGATTCAGTTACAATTCTGGCCAACAAATTCGATAGTAAATAATGCAATAAAATATTTTAGAAAATTTAAAATTAAGTACAAAGTTCAAAGTTAACAACTTCAAAAATTTTATCCTGATACACATTATTGTGCAGCTTATTTTTGCTACTTACGTGAATTTGCAATTTTATATCAAGAGTATACATGTTTTATTTTAGCTGATGATAAATACAAAATTCTAATTGGAGAAAAGGTTCCTACTTCTACTGGAGTTTGAAATAGACAATCACTAGTTCCATTAGATTATAATCTTTCTGCATGTGATCATGATTTTACTAAATTATTAATAACTCCTTCAGTTATTTTTTTTTATGAAGTTCCAAATAATATTTCAGAATCCTTTTATAATGGAGATGTTTATGTTGGATATATAGATACTGTTTATAAAAGTAGCAATATAATTAGACATACAACAGAATTTTTTCAAGCAATTAATCAAAAATTTTTAACTGAAATACCTCAACTTTTATGTATATATACAGATGGTGGTCCTGATCAAAGAACAAATTTTGGATCTGTTCAAATTTTACTTATTTTATTATTTCTTAAAGGAGATTTTGATATGCTTATTTGAGAACAGCACAATATCATAGCTGGGCAAATCCTGCTGAAAGAATTATGTCTATACTTAATTTAGGTTTACAAAATACTGCATTAGTATATAATGAATTTAGCAAAGAAGAAGAAAAAAATTTTTGAGCAATTAAATACACTTGATGATATTAGAAAAGCAGCAAATAATAATATAAATTTAAAAAAAGAAATTCAAAACAGCATTACTAATATTAAAAATCTTTTATATATGCAAACTGAATGACTTGTTTTAAATGAAAATTTATTCAGTTGTTATACTTCTGTATCAAATACTGATATTGATGAATTGTTTCAAGTAAAATATTTTTTAAATATACTGTTGGACCTCCCCAAACCGATATGCATGGTGGACCGATTTTGTATCAGTCTTGAGAGGTTATCAGATTTGGAAAACATTATAAACTATTAGATTTATATAACGGAAACGGACTTTGTAGACTGATTTTTTATCATATTTGACAGGTTATCGGTTTTGAGAGGATCGATTTAGGGAGGTTCAACAGTATGTAAATTTATTTTAAAACTTGTTTAATTTGTTTAAATTTTTAGGAAATAAAATTTATTGATAAAACTCTTCAAATTAATGAAGCTACTTGGGCAAGTTTAAGAAAATATAGTAAATTAATGGAGTTCTTAAAATCTTATTATCAACAACGACTATATTCATTTCAGGTTAATAATTTAATATATTTACTTTTAAATTAATAATACTGTTGTATAATATATTAATTTAATATTTAAAGATTAAAAAGTGTTTATAGCCTAATTGTAACTTGTGTAAACCAGTTCGAATGCCAATTGAAAAGTTTAATTCATTAAATTTTTTATCTGATCCTATGCCAGCAATAGAAGGTTTGTTTAATTTTTTTTTAAAAAATAATTAAAGTTGAATTAACTTAAATATTTAATATTCTATAGATTTAAATCATTATGCATCTTTTAATTCTGTATATGGAATTGAAACAAATGAAAGTCATTGTCCTTCTTTATTATTAAATCAAGAAGAACAAGAACATGGTTCTAATAGTCTATATACATACAAAAAAATTAGTTGATGGGTAGAATGTACTGCTTGTAGTAAATGGTGCTGTTTTTATAGTCAAAATTCACTCAATGAAGAAGAAGAATTACAATGGCAAACAGCTCTTCAAAATAATTTATATACTTGTAGTGGGTCTATTTTACTAAAAGATCATCAATTATATAATATTCTTTTTGTTCATAAACATATTTCATGTAATTCACCAATTGAAACAAATTATTATGCTTGTGAACATGGTGATAGAATTCAACTTTGTTATTGGTGTGGAACTGAAGATGGTTTATCTAATTTACCTAAATTATTAACTGATCAGTATAAAATAGTTTATCCATGTTGTAATACATGTAAAGAATTAGAAAAGAATTATTTTACTCATTTGGAGATTAAAGTTGGGAAAAATAGTAAAAAAAGAAAGCAAAAAACTTAAATCTATAATATATTTTTAAATAAATAATGTTTAAACAATTTTTTATATAGTAATAAAATATTTTCAAAAAAATTTTTTAAAAAAAAATTTTTTAAATTTTACTATATAAACCTTCTGAAGCCCCCCTCCCCCCCTCTTTCATAATGAAAATGTAATGTAAACCACTGAATTGAATTGGGATCGTCTAATCAAGAACATTACCTTTGATGCATCAAAAACATAATCTTTGAATCATCATGACTAAACATTAAAAGTCCTCTGCTACACTCTGGACAATAAATGTATAGATAAAAATTTAGAGTCATTTTCTCAAATAAGATTTGCTTATAAAGAATTTTAAATATTGTTGGAGGCAGAAAACTGCGACTCGGTCTTTTCACAATCCAAAACCTCATGTAACCAATGACTGGTACCCTTTCGAAAGAAGTGTGTTAGATTTGGCTCGCGGGTGATTAAGGCTTTTGGTTACTCAGAGTCAACGAAGACAAGTGGGTAAGACATGTGATCACGAACTGAGCGAACAACGATTTTTATGAAGTTTGTAGGGTTTGGGTTCAGTGTTAATGTAGTGTTATAGATAATTTGTAATATGGGGTTTATTTTTAATAAAGCAAACGAAGCATCCTCCCTTCGTGGGCCATCTTGGCCTTTATTTATATTGATTATTTCTGTCGCTTACAAATGCGACTTTACATTTAATATTCTATAAAACTTTTTAAAACTGTTTACAATTATTTCCCTAATATTTTTAAGGATGGTTAATTTGTACGTACATCCTCCCTTTACCTTCTATCTACCCCTTCGTATCCGAAATACCCTTTTCGATCATAAATGTAAGTATTTGCACTTCTTGCATTTCGTGCATTTTTCACGTGATCGATCACGGTTTTCGGGTCTCACAATATGCAAAATACCATTCCTGATGGATCGTTGGTACTGTTCCTGATTGGATAAAAGAAAATCAATTCATGTACCATTCCTAATAGTGTTTTAATAAGCTACATTGCTATCAAGTAAAGCCACGGCGTAATATTTGAAGTCATATATTACTGTCAAACCTGATTATAAAGTTTATAAGAAGTTACCAATTTCGATCTATCACGTGATATGTTGATCGAAATCGAATGATTCTGGTATCGATTAATTCGTCTCATTGAGCCAAATCGATTGATACCAATAACGCTATGCCGATTACTAGATTCAAAGTTACTTGAATTTAAAGTTTTATGAAAATATTGTAATTTTTTGCATTGGAATGTATTGCGCAAATCGTTGATATCTCGTAATCCCGAGATCAGAATCCAATGATTTTTATACAAATCGATTCACCTCAATGAAAGAAATCTTATGGTATAAAAATCGTCGGATTCGATTTCGGAGTCACGATACTTTTTTATTATAGTATTCTATATATTATTCTATACCAGGTGTCCCAAAGTTCCTATACATGGTCCTTTTTTTTAAGTGTTGCATAATAATCATCGTGATCTCTATAGATAAGGTCACTGGGATCATGTATAGGGACTTTTGGGACACCCAGTATATATAAATGGCTTAAACACAAATATCTCATGATTTAGTGATCAAATTTGAGAAATTTTTATACCAATCGATTCCTCTCGAAGCGAGGAATCGATTTATATAAGAATTGCTCAATTTTGACCGCCAAGTACAAAAGTGACAATAAGGTATAGCGGTTTGCAAAAAGATATGACCTCTGCAGATCATATTGTCATGTAAAATCACGAGAAATCAGCCGATTCTAGTAGATTTTGATTCTCAAAGAATTTTAAAGATTCCGAATAATTCCGAATAACATAAACATTTTTGTCCGAAAATTATGATCAATAGGGACGAAATCACAGGGTCACACCTTTTTGCAAAGCGCCATAATAAACATACAAATATGTATTAACTCAAATATCTCATGAAGTAATGGTCTAAATCGAATGAAATTTATATCATTCGATTCCTCTTTATGAGAGGAATCAAATGATATAAATTTTATTTGAATTTGTTCACAGGATAACGAGACATCCCGATTCGCCCAATTCCCAATTCGCCATAATACCCTATCTCCTTTATGTAGCAAAAAAAAAGCAATAATTTGCATGCCAATTAGCTTTTTCTGTCATTGAGTAAAGTTTTTCAGCACAAATACTATATCACACGGAAAATACTTAATTAAGTAGATCTTATGCAGAAATTTAGTGCGGAATATTGATTTCGAAAATTGTTATCTTTAGATAGTTTATAGCAGTTTGCAAAAAGGTGTGACCTCTGCAGATCATAATTTCATGTAAAATCATGGGAAATCAGCCGACTCTAGTAGATTTTTCGATTCTTAGAGAATTTTAAAGATTTTGAATAACGTATAAACGTTATTGATCGAAATTATGATCAATATGGAATTAAAATCTCAAAAATTTCTGCTATCATCATCACGAAATCACAGGGTCTCACCTTTTTGCAAATCGCCATAAGTGCTCGAGAGAGAAAACGTATAAGTAAAAATCTACCCCTGAAGAATTGTAATATACATCATTTCGTTTATATCATATCAATACTAGGCATTATCAGGCATTGATATATAATATCAATTCTTCGGTTTTTTCTAGGGGTTGGACCCGGGTAGAAATTGTGCTATATGATATATAATAATTTACCCGGATAACCCGGTTAATTTAATAATACCCGGGTAGAGATTTTCTCAACGGGTCCAACCTCTAGTTTTTTCATCTCGAGTACTTATTTGCAATAGAGGTGGGTTCATGCGTGCGCATTATTCCTCAATCATGAACATTAAATTTTATATGGGAAAAAATTAAAGCATATATAATTTTGGCCAGAGAATATAACACCGGGCGGAATTAAGAAATAAGAAAGAAAAAGTTCCGAAAAATTCCGAAAAGAAAATGAATGAACATAAAGACGAGCAAACTTCCCGAAGGAAAAAATAAAATCCAAATTATATCATGCGCATTAATGCACACTCATGCATGTTATTATAATATGCGTATTTTTTTTTCCCACCACCTCTAATTTGCACTATACCTGATACAATATACATAACCGCAGCAATTTGATTTGTTGTACAGTATATCCTAGTCTGTACTGTAGTCGGAAGGGATCTTAATCACGTGCTGCCACATTTTCTTGCAATGGCTAGGTACTAGTCGATCTCTACATATCGATATGTTACCTCGGACCCCCTCAAAAGGAAATTCATTGACACAAATATATAAACTATGCAACGTATAGTGCAGTCTGTCAGAATGTATTCTTTTTTGACTGACCATATTTATAATTGACGTTAAAAATAATTTTAACATACCAAATAATTAAATATTTTACACTATTAGAATGGTAATAAAATTATTTGAAAAACTTTCAAATAATTATCTTGAACTTCTTAATGATAAAGAAGATTTTAATATAATCATTAATGTTGGTGAATTCCCAAACATCAAGAGATTTCAAGCACATTCAGCAATTTTAAGATGCAGATCTTTATATTTTCGTAATGAATTGATAAATGGCAGTAAAGATAATATTTTTAAAACAATTAATTTAGAAAATGTTTCTATTCAACAATTTGAGATTATCATTAAGTAAGTTATTTATATTACGATTATTATTATATTTTATTTCAAAAATAAATCTAAAATATACTAAATTTTATAAAGATATATTTATGGAGGAATAGTCGTACTTGAAAATTGTGACGCATCATTTATCTTTGATCTTATTTTTATTGCTTACGAATTTCTTTTTGATGAGTTAGCAAAACATCTTGAAACACACTTGATTGAAAAAGAAACTCGTTGGCTACGTTTAAATTTTTCTCGTATTCAACAAAAAAGTTTCCAGAATAATAAGATCCAGGAATTACAAAAATGGTGCAATGATATTCTAGTAACGTATCCAAATAAAATTTTTGATTCGCAGGATTTTATCTCGCTTAAAGAAAATGAATTAGTATACCTTATTAGTCGAGATAATTTACAAATGGAAGAAGTAAATATTTGGAATCATGTTATTAAATGGGGAATTGCTCGAAACCCTGGTCTACCATACGATGTCGAGAAATGGTCATCTGAAGATTTTCTAGCTTTAAAGACTACTCTGCAAAATTGTTTACCTCATGTTCGTTATTTTCAAATGTCTGGAGATGATATTTTTAATTATGTGCAACCATATTATCAAATTCTTGAAAAAAATCTTTGGAAAGACATAACAAAAAAGTTTATGACAAATCAACCAATATCATCAGTTATCCTTCCGCCTCGTACGATTTTAACACCAACATTGCCTAATAGAATTACTGAATCATTTTCAACAGTTATTAATGATGCACATGCAGCAGAAATTTCTTCATGGGTTAATAGAAAAGATAATGCATATTCTGTAAGAAATAATCCATACGAATTTAAATTACTTCTTCGTGGTACTAGAGATGGTTTTACATCCGATTCATTTTGGAATCTATGCAATAACCAAACACATCTTGTTGTAGTTATGAAGGTTAAAGGTACTGATGAAATTCTTGGTGGATATAATCCTATTGGTTGGATTAGGCCAGCTAAAACTCAATCTTTTAGTAAGAGTTGCCATGATAGCTTTATTTTTTCATTAAGAAATGCTAATATTCAAAATTCTATTTTAAGCCGTGTAAAAAAACCAGACTGTGCGATTTACTGTAGCCATTATTATGGTCCAGTTTTTGGTTCTCAAATAGTTATGTTTAATAATTTTAATCAAGATAATGGGTGTTGGTGTAATAAGAGTTTTATATATGAAAGACAAATTAGAGATGAAACAACTTATGGAACAAATGGGGTTTCGTGTTTTTCAGTAGAGGAATATGAAATATTTCAACTCTATATTAAACCCACTAATTTATTCAAAAGATAAACAGCTGCGATTTGGAATAATAATGGTTTAACGTTAATTCATTGAACTTATTATGATCATAAAAATGATGGTATCCGCTTCATTAT